AGATATATAGATATTTTAAGTTGCTAATGATTGTGAGTTATAGTACGTTTTATGTAATTTTCATATATATTACTCGCTTTGTCCTGATTTATGTGATACAAATGAAATTTCAAAAGTCAATGAATTTTTTATAAGTTTTTTTTAAATTAACTTGTTATTTATTGTGATTTATAATATATTTACGTAAAACATACTCTAAATAAAAATAATTAGCAACTTAAAATATATAAAAACATACTAAAAAATTGATTAACTTCAAAGTTCATATGTACCACATAAATTAAAACAGAAACAGTAACATATATTGGGCCCCGTGCTGGCACGGGGTCCCATATCTAGTATATATATGTGTGTGTGTGTGTGTGTTAAAAAGAAAGTGGTCAATTATAAGAAATCAGTGATGAATAAAATTTTGTAGCTAAATAGTAAAAAAAATTATGTCAATCCATTTGATAATGGATTAGTGGTCAATTACAAGAAATTCAATTAGCTTCTGATCAGAGTTTTCAAAAACGTTTTTGGGGCGAGTCTCAGGGCGAGTTTCGGGGCAGGGCGTACCAAAAACGCTCTGGACGTAAATTAAAGATGTAGATCCATAAGGTGTAAGTCCTAAAATTTGAGGCGTAATCCCTGAGCATAAAAACGTAAGTCCTAAGCGTAAAAATGTACGCCCGGATGTTTTAAATTTATTTTTTTACCTTTTTTATTTTATATCATATTTTTATTATTAGTGTAATAATATTTCTCAAACAATAATTATAATACTTTTTTTCTTCATTATTGATTATTAATACTTATCTCAAATAAAAATAACAAATCATTGAAAGGTTTACTTTTGCTTATTTTATTAGTAATAAAATTGAATATACATGAGATTACTCCTCGTAGATCCATGGGACTTACGCCCTGTGTCTCGGGACTTACGCCTCGCCCTTTACTATATAAAACGTCTCGCCTCACGCCCCCGCCTTTTAAAACACTGCTTCTAATTATAAATTAAGTAGAAAATACTGATAAATTTCGTAAGAAAAGGAATAAAATGAGAGACTGCTCAATAATATGGGGTAAATAGTCACTTAAATTGTAGGACCAAAGTTCTGCAGCTTGAGAATGACAAGTATGGTCAGGGATGGAGCAAAGTGGGGCACTTGTGGGTTCGAATGAATTCGATAGCTTTTTTGTAGATCTTGTATTTATATAAGAAAATTACACACACACACACATATATATATATATACTAGAAGGGTATGGCCCGTGCTTAGCACGGGCCCAACATAGTAAGCCTGTTGTAAACAGAGTATTGATGAAACTTATTTGAACTATATAAGCCACAATTTGCAATGAAGCAACTTATTCAAGTTATGAATGATTTAGTTAAAAGGGATGATCTAGTAAGTTAGAAACAAAAGAAATTCAAAAGAAAAAACAAGTATTCTAGCAATTGCAATGTGTCCCGGGAACATCAACTCTTCAACTCCTTCATTGCACATATTTCCTTTTCAGTGCCTGGACGTTGATATTTGTTGTTCCTGCAAATTATTGAAAAGGAACACATGAAAAGTAGTTGGGCCATGTTCCTTTTAAGATATCAACTTCACTATTTACACAAATTGCATATTTATATCAAGATGGGAAAATCAGAAGATTTTAGATACAAGTTAAGTAGTTCTCTTATGTTTAAAGGTTGAAGTTAAAATGTAAGTAGGCAAATTCAGATAAGTCAGGTATTATACATGTTAGAGAAAATAGATTGGCAATGTCAAATTAATAATAATGGAAAATGTAGAATAATGCGAAGATCAATATGCCATACGGAAAATGTAATGGAAAGAGCAGGCTTACTTGTTTGAGAAATTGTCAGAGGATTGTATACTTTTTCCTTTGTTTAAGTTATCTTGGGGTTGAGTTGATCGAACTTGATGACTGGCAGCTAGCAAACAAAATACAAAATATATTTACAGACAGACTCGGTCAGTACACATTGGCAGATGGAACACATTGACAACATTAAGTTAATAAAAGAGGATCAGGTAGATGGGATAGATCAGAAGATGCCGGGAGATGTGCGGCAACCTTTTATTCGTTCTTTTTATAAATTCCCACATAAACAATAGGCACCAATGCTGAAACTCCATCCAGTGCAACTGCTGCTTTTATATCTATTATTTTATCTGATGAACCTGATAAGACACTTATAAAAAATAATTGATACGCTTAGTTGGTGCAGTCTTTCCATCAACATATTGATTTGAGAGCAAAGAGGAATTTTTTCAGATATAAGACGCCTACAACTCAATGTTCAACATATATAGCTTTATCCACCATGAAACAATATAAATACTTACAACAAATCATATGATTTCTCATAAACAAAAACAAATCGCATTATTGATGAAAAAGAAATAAATAGTAGTACCCCTTGACTGCTAACAGAATTATACCATTAGCTTGATTATCATAAATGTTATAGAAAGATAAAGCAGTGAACTCTAGTTAGTCTCCACACTAACACAAACTTGATTTATAAAATTCAAGAAAATCATATTGTTGCACCGGTCATGATGACTTTCAATCCAAAGGTCAACGAAAAGAGTAGTACACTTTCATCAGTGAAAACTTTCAAAAATCACAACCTAAACAATTAAAGAGTATAGTAGAACTTCACTTGTGCAGAAGCTCATCCAAAACTTATCATCCATGAAATAATAGCAATATCATTCCTAAATTTCTCAAACGTCTTTCCATATTCTTTAGAAAGGAAGCATTTCAAAGATTCTAAGACAATTTCTCATAGTTTTTTGTTTCTGCTGTCGCTACAATCTGCCCAAAAAAACATTAACCCAAAATCAAATGCCATGTTCTTTCCTTCAATATCATCAAACAATCCACATGCAAAGGCAAGTACCGAAAAATTCATCGTACCAGAAACCATTTAGATTGAAGCAGAGGAAACTATTCATTCATTAACTTAAGCTAATCTTACAATGGTTTCATTGTCGATCTCCGAAGAAAAATTGCTGATGTGATTCCATCTGGTGGTTGAAAGGTACCCAGTGAAGATCCTATAAAGAATTAAATAAAGAAAATTGGAAAAAAGTACTCTGTTTTCAGAAATCACCAGAGAGCAATTGAAACAATAGGTGCATTACTCTATTTTAAAAAATACTCATGCATGAAGCAATAACGTCTAATTGAGTTAACAAATGTCAGAGTATTCACATAAGTGTAATAAGATTATTGTAAAATCTTTACCTGGGTTATCAAGGGACATGCCATGTTCCTTCATCTGACACGGCAATGTAGGACTTTTCACAGTCGATGATACCTTCTTCATTCTTTGGAGGTGTGTTGATGTCTTCTCAAATTTCCACTTCCACATATGAAGTGGAACTCCAGGATCAATTGGAATGGAGAACAGTAAAATTTCATAACTTGGTGCTCGAAATCTAAATCGATGGTTCAACATTATCTAATAACATATAAGAACAAAGGAATTATATTACTCTGCAGAATAAAGAATCATGTATTTTGTAAATGCACCAAAGGAGAAGATACAAGGATAACTATTAAAGCTATATTGTGCTGGTCCAATCAGCTGATTAAACAATGTACAGTAATGTCTGTAAAAAAATTCCTAATAGTATTTTTTTAAGAAGCAAAATTTCATTCCTCACCTAACAATAGAGTCAGTCATCCATAATACCGTCAAGCAACTTCAATTCCTTGCTTGTTTATTCCTACTGAACTTGAAAATGTCCGTAGCTGCATTTGGAGAACTATTAATAGTGAGAAAGAGACCTTTATGCTCTTCTTTTTTTATTTTTCTTCGAATTCAACACATCTTCTAAAAGTTTTAGTTAAAAGAGAGAAAGAGAAAGGAAAATCAGATTTATATTAAGATAAACCATTTGATTAATAGCTTAAACTGAATAACAATGTCAATTCACGAGTGGAATATCACATCGACAACATTTTATTTTATTTTTGTAAGTATACATAGACAATATTCACAACAATTTTTGTTATAAGGAGTAATAAATTTTGTATTGATAACTGAGCAGAAAATAACCATATACACATGTTAATAACAGAAACTGAATTCAGCTTAAACATACCATCCCTAGAGGGTAATAGAACATATTTTACTTCCTTCATTTCAATTTATTTGTATCACTTTTCTTTTTAGTACGTTTAAAAGAATGTCTTTTTACCTTTTTAGCAACTCTTTATTTCTAACTTTTCACATGACATGTTAAAGACCACAAGATCAAAAGGGCATTTTGGCACATCCTATACATTTTTAGTTTAAGACCATAAAATTCAAGAATCTTTATGACTTATAAAAACATACGTAAAACATGCATTTCTCCTTTAACATGATGCAATTAGGCAATGAAAAACACACAAAAAAACATATAACATGCATATAAGAGATTCTTCTCATAAAACATCAGCTTCTAAAATATAGCTATTAAATAATAAAGTAAGCTTTTAAATTCAAAAGTAAATATCAAGATTAACATATTAAACAAAAACCATAACAAAATTTTGAAAATTGGAAGCAGAGAAGAGCAAATATTATCATACCAAAGATTTTGGAAGTTGCTCCTAGTCTAAGTAAATGACAAAGAATGATGAACAGAGATAGGCATATGTTTATCTCCTCTAAGTAGCAAATAGAACATGTATTACTTATGGTACAAGTATTTACCTTTAATTTCTCTATATAGAAAAGAATGAAGGACATAAATTGCCATGGACTCTTCCGGTGCTTTAATCCCAGAATCCTTCTTAGTGTTCTTTGAGTAACAACCTTCCTCAACCTAGACACCAGATTCTCTTCAAAGTTTGATCCAGAGATCAAAGAAAAATAGCAATGGACATAAAAACTAAAAAATATACTACAGCATAAAAAAGATATATTGTGAGAGATTGATATTTACCTGCAAGTGCTTTTACTAAATTATCTTCTGCCTCTCTAAGCTCAATTTTCAATTTCCCAAGATTTGCAGCCATGCCGAAAAGCATCAAAGCAAAAAAACACTTAATTAGTAAGATTTATCATGAAAATGGGCACCCAAAAAAATTGATTCTTTTTTAAAATAGAGTTCAATTCAACCCCAAATAGAAAATACCCTTCAAAGACGGATACTTTTAAGAATCTCTGTAAATGGAAAAGTTTGACATTAAATTCCATCATATACAGATGTGCTGGTAGTAAAACTTAGACCAAATCATTAGAAAAAGAGAACACTATAGGTATGAAGAAATCCCAAATGTAGTATTTTCAATTTACCCTGGAATTGAAGGGTTTCTTGAGCTTGGAGGTTGGTTGAATCCAAAGATTTTCCAAAAGAAATAGTGCCTGCATCTGTTTTTGGTTACAATATTAGGTTTTTTATTGTAAAAATAACTAAATTTAACTTAAGGGAATCAATATGGAAGAACTTAAAAGTAATATAAAATTGAAATTTTTCTGCTCAATTTTCAACAATGCCAAAGAATTTTTAAGTTTTTAACAGCTGGACTTGTTCAAACACGTGATGGTGTTAGATATGTAAGCATAAGATAAATGTAAAGAATCATAACCATAATACAAAACCCAAAAAGTATACAGTTACAGGATGCTATTATAGTATGACTCCTATTACGTGAAATCATGTTATGACAACATCATCTAAAAAGGAAAAATTTCTATATTTTCCTTGGTCACATGATAAGTCAAATGTATTGGTGAGATAATTAAAGAAACTAAGCTTATGAAATATCTTGTTTTCATCTATAGCCTCTTCCGTATATAATGTTGCTACATCTTCCGCCGCCTACTCCACATCCTCCAAAGGGACCCGAATCTGGAGAATAGACTCAATCACTTAAGAACTTGCCTATAGCCTATCCAACTGTGATAATGATTTCGTTTGCTGCACTCCTATTACATTGTCAAAGTGGTGCATCAACAATGGTTTTCTTTGGGGGAAGCAAGCGGCAAGAGCTACTAATTTGAGAGACATTTAAGCGAGTGGAAGATAGCATCTTAAGTTAATGTGCAGGTTTGTTGAAACTAATTGCAGAGCCAAACAACTGTACTCGTAACAGAGAAGTGTGTCTTGTTGTCTAGATATAGAGATTCCTATTACTAAAAACATGAATATTGATATTTGGCTAATGTTCTTGCGTAGAGTTTTACGTATTTGTAATGAATTTGTATCTCATATATCTTAGTATATTCCAAAAATATATATTGAAGAGCAAGCATATTTCTGCAGGAATATATGTTCCAGAATTCAGTAGTTCCATAACGCCAATTTGCAACTCAACTTAGTAATATATTTGAATTCTACTAATAGAAAATATAAATCAACTACTGTCAAAATAATGAACTTCATCCAAAGAAAGCTACAATATCATATCAGTATAAATCAGCAGATCTAACTAACGCATATGAAAAACATGAGACCAAAATAAAAGTAGCAACAAAAATATGGTGAGAAAGTAAACAAATGTGAGAAATCGGGATAATCACGCAGGCAAAACGAAGAATTGTCCGACTAAACCATTAAGATGGTGGCAGTAATTAACACATAATATTATGTTAGCTTAGAATGCATAAAGGCGTAGCTCTAAAAATGTTAAACCACTGGACATGGCAAACACAATCAATAGATATTTTAAATTTTTTTTTTTTTGGGTTCAAGAATCAGTAGATATAAATGGTCAGATTGAGAAAAAGAGACCGCGTCAAAAACAGAAATGTGTCACGGGAAAAGAGAGGATCCCTATTGAGGTTCACCTGATCTACAGAATTCCAGAGCATGAAGGTTTAAAGGCAATAAATTCAGAATAGAATTGCTACTCCACCACTAAAGCTGAACCAAAACCGTCTGATGCAAACAATACATGGTAGACATTTATGACCCTCGTCAATTTTCATGTGATACATTATATTATGTAATAATACAGAGACACCAAAATGAAGAAAAATGAGAGACATATTAAAGGTAAGTTTCATACTTTAGAACATGGAGACCGTCTTCTATGTCCGATTTGAGTCTTGTCATTCATATGTACCAGGAAGCTAGCCTGTAAACTTTAAAGCAGAACTTCCTATTACCACAGAACACCAACAATCCATTCATATGATCTCACGACTTTGTTTATCATAACATCAATGACAAAAAATAATTTAGCAACTTGCCTGCTGATTCGTGCTAGTCCGTGCCAATTTCCAGAAAAAGAGATATGTGTATTTTAAGGTTAACCATCATGTCATCAACTTAAGGTAGTTTATTGTTTGTTTCATCTCCATTAGCCTCCAACAGAGTTAGATAAAAGGATGGGCGTTGAAGAAAAAATAGAAGACTAATTGTTGTGGTAGCAGAATGTAACTCATGTAGACCGCAAAATTGTGTACTCACCCTATAAGGAATTTAGTGTTGCAATCTCTACTCAAATCAGAAATTCATAGTCGGTAAATCAGAAACCCAATAAAAATGGGGAGAACCTATATTTTGTTGGTTTGATTTGGTAAAATTGAGCTCGTTATACCTGATGTATAACGATATAAAAATTTGATAGATTGTTTGAATTTCAAGCTTCTGCTCCATTCCAGCATCTCATGCTTGCAATTCTCCCCTATCTCGTTGAAGTAATAGACCTGAATAGGAGAAATTATTATATCAAATACAAATTTGCAAATAGGCAAGTGGGAAAGGAGAAGGAGAAAAAGGGCCAGTGCTACAAATTACAATGAACTCTAAAATGTAGTGCATGCAACGGTATAACAACCCTAAATACCGAAGAAATCAACAAAATTGAAAGAAAATTCAAACCAATCCAATGGAAAATTGACCTAAAGGGAAAAAAACCCATAAAATTAGATTAATCGATAAATAATTGAGAGCCAGCGGAAGTGTTGCGCAAATTAGCTCAAGTTAATGATAAGGTACAAACACAGACAATCAATATCAGTTCTAACCGCAGCTACAGCCACATTGCAATCGTTCGTCTGATTGTGTAATGGCATGTATGAAAAGTTGTAGAATCTCAGGATTAGATATGAGGAGGTTTCATCTGAAATGAAGGCATTATTAGCTGAAACACCCACACATCCCTTTGGTATTTTTCTCATCATTTACCACTGCATTGCCGATCAGTTAGTTAGTTAGTTACGTTCAATTTAATCTGCACAACACAATATCATAAACATTAATGACTTCAATATTGTAGTCAGGACCATCTCCAGAATTGACATGATTTGTTGGTTTAACCATGTCTCAATTTTCCTGCAAAATATTTTAAAACATATGAATTTTTCATTATTTTTTTATTGTCTAAAAATACTTTAAAACGTTAAGCATTTTTATGTTTATATAATGTATGTATTTTGCAGTTTTTCCAAGCCTTATGTCCATCTTCATCTATTGAACATAATTTCCTTTCTTAAAGCTAAAGATTTCACTTTCAGTTTTTGTACAATGTGTCATCCCAAATGTAAGGTTCATTTGTGTACCAACATGTTTTCAACAAGTACAAGAACTCTAATGCTGCTCCATTTGAAAATGCATTATTTTTGTTATGGAAGTATTACCTCAGATCTATTCATTATATTGAAGAATGAAGAAAGTCTCACATTAACCATTAATGAGATTCTCACAATGCTTGAACAATTCTTCCTTCGAGCTAGCTTTTGAGGTGTAAGTTAAGCCCAAAACCTTAATTTATATGGTATCAAAGCAGGGCACTTGTTGGTGTTGGGCGCCATATTAAATATTGGACGTGAGATGGGAGTTTGAAGAGTCCCACATCGAATCGAAAAAGAGATGAGTGGTCTCCTTATATGGAATTGTGCGAATTGTGCTATCTCCCTCAAGAGCTAGCTTTTGGAGTTGAGTTAGGCCCAAAATCCATTTCTCAAAACAATATTCAAAGCATTAAGAGTAAGAAAGCTATATAAACTATTTGATTACTTCATATATTGCAAGTCATACTTTCAAATAGAGGTCTAATAATGACAAGCATGGTTCCTGGGATACTATCACAGTAATCACATCGACATATCTATGAACTGATCAATATCTAAAAAGAGATATATATATCATAGAGTATGTACCAGACATGAGAAAAAGGAAAGTTTTCAGGTTTATTTTACCTTGGAAATTTCAAATTTGATCATTGAAAGCTTGTCAAAGCTAGGATCCAATAAATGGCGAAGAAACCTGAGGAGATTAAGGAACATAAATTCTAGTGCCACAACATGAACTGAAAAGTGGAGAAATTTGATTTTGTAAACATAAGCCTAGAATATATCTTTTTACAACATTACAAATCATATATTTCAATGATACGAAACTTCAAGTAATCAAGTCAGTTGAGCATGTCATAAACAATGATCGATACATAATACATGTGTTTGCTGTCTTACAGATAATAGAGATTAGCAAATCGATGATTGCAAGAGACCGAACCTATTAATTAAAACAAAGAACAACAATTTTGATACAAATTTCCTATCACTTTCTCCAGTACTAATCTCACTCCTGCAAAATCCGTCAGAAATTCAATACCACGTAATGTTCTATTCCTTTCCTGTGAAGAGGTATAAGTCCCCATATCAATAATTATTAATTGAGTCTTATATTAAATTTTGTATATTTTATCGTACTCAAAATTCTGAATCTGATTAGAGCAATGAAGGCGGCAGAACTGACCGACACAAAAGACAAAAGAAAAACAAATGAAATCAAATAGCAGAGAGGAGATACTCACCTCAATTGTTTAACACTGCATGGGGAAGACCAATGATTGGAGAAATTTCAAAGATAGAAGCTATGTCATCGGAAGAAAGAGAAATAGCTCATGTAAATGCCTCGTAGGAGCAAGGTGTGTGAAGCCAGACAAATTAACCCTAAAGAAGTTGAACAAATGACATGAAACAGAGATGTCGAACATGGATCTTACCTCATATTTCGGCATATTGCGACAATATAGAAAAATTGACCCGTCCATTAACGACAGCGCTAGGAATTACAGAGAAAGATAGCAGTGAACTTCAATTCTGGTGTCCATATTTGAAGTGCGCTACAACATCAATGGTTTAATATAATCAAATTAATGCCAAGACTAAGAGACATTTCATAAGTAGTTAGTAATAAAATCATTTAAGATATATGCTAGCAGCCTAATCTAGGATTGAGGAGCAATTGATGTTGTTGTTGTTGCAGATGTCCACAGAATTCACCCGATCAGAGCAACAAAGTTGTTTTTAAATATTAATATCAATAAAATCAGTAGATATAAGAATCATATCCTAACAAATTAGGAATCGGAGAAAGAGCAAAACAGAAGACAAATTAGGAATGGGAGAAAGAGCAAATGATGGAGCAAACATGTAAATTTCACTTAAAGCATGAAGAAATACCTGCGCAGGCCGTCCGAAACAAACAGAAATCTTCAGGAAAGCTTGACAGAGAGATTTTAACTCTGTAGACAAACAGAAAACACTAAGCAGCAGATGGATTCACCATCGAAGAGGTGAGAAGTAGAAGGAAGAGTTGACAGAATAGAGCGACTTTACCAAGGAGGACAGAAACTTAAAGCATGAACAAGTACCTGCGCAGCTCGTCCGAAACAAACAGAGATCTTCAGCAAAGCTTCAGAGAGAGATTTAAAGTGTCTAAAGAAACAGGAAAAACTAAGGAGCATATGGATTCACCATTGAAGAGGTCAGAAGTAGAAGGAAGAGTTGAGAGAATACTGCGACTTTAGCAAGGAGGAGAGAAATTAGGGTTAGAAATTTGGCAGATATAGCAAGAAACTTCTACAGAAAGTGTCTTTATTTTTTGATGTACAATTAGCACTACCATTAGTACAATGCAAAGATGCAGTGTTGGTCCTTGTAAAATGTACAATTAATACTGCCTTTAGTACAATCAAATAATGCGGTGTTGGTCCTCTTTAAGTGTCATTTCTATATAAGGGTAATACACTCTTGAACTCCCTAACAAAATTGATTGATGACTCTAAAAGGGATTGAGGAAATGTTTTCCACAGCAGTAGTGTGAATTCGAACCCCCAACTATTATCAATAGAAATTTCTTTCTTTTTTTTAAAAAAAAGGCATACTTTGACATTTTTTTTTCATTCTATCCTAAAATTTAGAACCCTCAAACTCTTAATTTTAACTCCGTCTCTGAGTATGGTTATTAATCTTAACACATAATTTTTTCAATCATGACATTGTCAAATTATTTATTTGGTACGTGCATGCCTTTATATCACATGCACCATGCTACACAAAAACAAATTCGTAAACGAAGAACATAAGCTAAAAGAATATAAAACCAAGATTGATATCATGATTTGCTACTTTAATTTATTAAGGTGGTCAGTTGAACACATTTTGTTAAAAAATACAAATTATTTTTTGTGAGTATATATTATTTTTTGAATATCATCAACGAAATTAACATCTTGTACGAGAAAAATCCTTTTGAAATCATTAAAATCAAAAGCCGAAACAATAACTCACTGAAAAATTTATTAAATCATTAAAAATTGTTTACCCATATCCTAATAGATTAATAGTTTTTTTTCGATTAAACCGGTTTTTCCACATTTCTAGTAATGCATATATATTATTACAGTTTTTTATTATTTGGATTTGTGTTCATTATATATTTAATTTTTTATATCGATGCCCTTCATTTGAATTTTGAAAGAAGAAAAAAGACAAAAGGCATAATTGAAGCTTCCAAGTATGATGTTTCCTTGAAACTTCGCTTTTATTTATTTGAAAACAAAGAAAAAAAAGACAAAAGGCATAATATATATATTTATATATATACTAGATAATGTGGCCCATGCTATAATATAAATGGTATGTTTTGGGGCTAATAACCGAGTTTTTGAAGCGATTGTTTGCATGGATAAAGGAATAAGTTTTTTTATCACAAACATGTACTTTCTTTGACGCTATTTAAGGCATAATAAGACTACCACATACAACATTTTTGAAATATTTTATGTTGTCAATTATCATGATTTATAGTATTTTTACGATAGATTCACTTCAAGAATCAGTGGAATTTTTTGTATTTTTTTCAAAACATATTTTATATTGTCAATTATCATGATTTATAGTATTTTTACGATAGATTCACTTCAAGAATCAGTGGAATTTTTTGTATTTTTTTCAAAACATATTTTATATTGTCAATTATCATGATTTATAGTATTTTTACGATAGATTCACTTCAAGAATCAGTGGAATTTTTTGTATTTTTTTCAAAACATATTTTATATTGTCAATTATCATGATTTATAGTATTTTTACG